GGGCGGGCCTGCGCTCTCATGCCTCCCCGCCCCCCCCTCCGGCCTCAGTACAGAATTAGGGCTGCGCTCCCCCTCCCGAAGCCCTTCTCAGCCCCGGGTGGGCTCCCGGGTACTGGTCCTCAGCGCGACCGGGGTCTGTCCTCGGCCAAACGCCGTGCTGTGATCCCTGGTGCCACCCCCGAGTCAGCCGCCTCCCCGCCGCCGGGCCCGTGTCTGGCCTGTGCGCCACAGCCGTCAGCGCTTTACGTGGTGGGGCCAAATAATAACAGCGTAGAAGCCAAAGGAAGAAACACAGGTTAAATCTAAGTCCAATTTGCGAAATAATGTTTGTGAAATAAAAACGAGAACGACACCACTGTGAAAAAGGATGAAATTGGTTGATAATTAGTGATAGCAGTGAGTATGCGGATGAGGTTTGAAACTTGTTGGTACACTGCAAAGTTCATTAACGCGAGGAGAAAGAGACTTGAAAGGTTTCCCAAAGTTAGCTTGGGATGAAAACAAGGCAAACCTGCCCGGTAACTTTTCTGTGGGCATGCCAGAATTACTCCCAAGGCACTCGACTACAAATGAAGAAGTTAACACCAGTTACGAGAAGGACTCCATGGCTCCCACTTCTCCACATCAGAGGCTTTGTCAACAAAGCACAGAAAGAAGCGAAGCTCTGCAACTTTTCAAAACCCCTCCCTTCATTTCGAGGCAGCTGCCTATGAAATAAAGACTTTTAAGCGTGACAGAAGATAATTTTGAAGTAACATTCATGTAGTCAACATTTGTTCAGTGGAAGGTAGACCAAAAACCTTCAAGTTCACAAACACTGCTACAGATGAGTCACCTCATGAACATAAGTAACCTCAGGTGCTTGTTTTCATGGACTTGAAACAGCAGCAGGCTAGAATATTTATTTAAGTATTTAGTGAGAGGCAGAGTAATAGGAAAAACTGAATTAAAAGATCTTTTATACACAACAGGAGTAGTTTTTAATGTTGAAAATTCAAGTGAATAATCTTGGTGTAAGAGTTGATAATTTCCCTACTGAATTTAAGACTATTTCTGGCTCATTGGCACCTGTTCATCTTTGAGGCATGTTCTATCATTTTTCATTCACCATCTGGAGTAAGTTTCTAACAGGATATGAACACTGTCCAGACTGTGGATTCTTTTGCAACAGAAACTTACATATATTTTTGTGGTGTTGTGAAAGAAATACTCAGTTATCACTCAGAGCTGCTTCTTCAGATGTTGTCTAAACTAAGGACCATAATCTGCGAAGAGTTACAGATACTTGGTTTTAGCTGAAGACAGTAGGCCTACTCCAGAGGTTAACGTTAACACTTGGGTATTTACAATGTATTGGCTCCAGGCAATTAGAGCCAGAGTGCCTCAGACAAGGGTGTACAGGCTTTATTTTATTTTCTACTATATTTACTCTTTGTAATGAAGACTGGGAACACCCAAATTTTCTCAGAACTAGAGATCCCCAAAACATTAGTACTAATGTAGCCAGACTGACTGTGGTATACCTCGTCTTCCTTCTCACTTCCCAAATTTTCATTAAACCTCCATCTGAGATATGGATTTGAAATCTAAAAATCAGGGGCTCAGTAGCCCGGCTGCTTTGTAACAACAGGACACCTTTCGAAGGATAAAACTTATATGACATTGCTTAGATGCTCCTGCCAAAATCTAAGTAACTGAATTTTTCAACCAGAACAAGATCAACTCTACTTAGACTGGTGCCTAAAAAAGTAGCTGCTTGTTTAGGTGTAACCAACTCTTATAAATATATTCATTCAGATACACCCTTAACTGCAATAAATTGCTTTATTTAATTTATTGCTTACTTTTTGTTTTGTAAACTGTAACACACCGATACTGGAATTTCTGGTGGAGAAACAAGATTCCTGTAGGAATCGTACAACCATGGGACCATGATGAATCGTAACACGCAAACAGCCCTGGCTGATACCTGTGGGACAGTACAACCGTGGGACCATGATGAATCGTAACACGCAAGCTGGTGTGAAGGGGGAGCAGGTCTGTGGAGCTCTAAAGGATCCTTCAGCTTCCTTCACAGATCCTCCACCTGCGTTAAGTAGCACTTGTGCTGATTTAGCATGCCAGATTATTGCACTGGTTTATCCACAGACCTTGCATGCTGGCTTAAAGCCACAGATTCTGCTGCTGTTGGAGTTTACATAAGCAAGAAAAGCAAAAGAGAGTACCGCTCTCAACGCCTGGTGTGAGAGGCGATTCTAGTCATGAAATCTGTAACAGCCATTGCATGAATAATATTGGCTTTGACTCCTCTTTCTGCTCTGAGACTTTTGTTAAATGTGGCTTCGTACGTCCCTCTTACAGTGTTTGAGATTATATGAAACCAAAACATTTTTCTGCAGTGGCTTGGTACACGTTAAACATTAAAAGTAGATTAGAAAATGAAAAAGAAAGGAACCCGACGTTAGACTTCTTTTTACATTTAGAAACGGAAACAAATAGCCACGTGTTTGAAAGTAATGTCTACAGCACTTACTGTCATTGGCCCGAATACTATGTTTTAAGTCCTCTTTCCTAGATGTTGCCTTTTGGTTTTACTAGGTTCTGCAATAAAAAAAAAAAAAAATCACAACACTTTTAACGGGCAAAAGGTGGGATTTTTTTTTAATTTAAATGTCCATCTAGATGTTTACAATATTATGAATTTAGAATTCACATACTTAAAATGCCATCCTGAATCAGTAAGAAGAGTATTAGGCATATTTAATACATGCAAAACATACATTTCATAAACAATTTTTACTTATAAAAGAACACATTCCTCATTCACACAATAATATTTATAAGCTTGATAATTAAAAAACGGCAAGTAACAGTTGCTCGAGACAAATAAACCTGAAAGCTTTTCCCCAAACTTTCCCATACAGATACATATTTGAAATAAGAAAAATCTGAGAAGTTTAAATAATAAAATAAAGTTAGAAAGATAAACTACCCAATATTTAGCAGAGTTTCTTCTTACCTTTTGCCTAGATCTATAGGATGCAAAGCACAACCAGCGCAGAGTGCAGAAGTAAAAATAAATATGATTTAATTGGAGACGGGAATGTGAGATGATTAAAGGCAGCATGACAAACTGAAGGTAATAGCATGTTACTGTACATAGCATGCTAATCACTCTTTTGCATTCATTCTTTTCCTAGGAATACATTAGAATTTAGTAGATTTGCCATAACACAGCAGGAAATATCCAAATTTTCATGTAGGTCTTAGAAGCAGACTTTCTGTTCTGCTTTGCTTTTCTGCCTCTTGTATGCCTGAGATAGCACTCTCCATTTCTCTTCACTGCTTGAAACATTATTCATGTTTGTGAGGGCTCTGTTTTCGTTATGCTATTCTTTTTTCTTAGTGGTATAACATTAATGGGAAATGCTGATCTGACCATGGAATAATCCATTTCACCTCCCTCAGTAGTCCTTTTTACAGGATAAGAAATATTTTTTATAGTAGAGGCAAGAAGAAGGATAAAGGGGGCTGGCCATTGGTTTTTAAAAGCTGAACAGATGACATTATTACAATTCTGTTTGTAGACAAATACTGTTTGTCTTATGGCTAATATGCCAATGAAGCAAAAGAACCCCTTTGATGATCTTAATATTTACTTTCTTTTACTTAGTTATTACAGGAGAAAACACCATACTTGGGCATGAACTTTTATGCTCTTTCCTTGTTACGCTTCACAAGAATTTTTATACATACATATATTTATTTACGGGAATATTGCTGCTTTTTATCAGTTGCCTTTATAGGTTTTGTGCTTGATAGAATCTATTATGAATAATATAGCTTGAATCTTAAATAATAATATAAGCACTTTTTAAAAATTCTTCTTTGTTAAACACGTCTTTCCAATAACCAAAAACTGATTGAAGACAAAATACTATTAAATACATGAGATTAAAAATCTGGAAACATTTTTAACATTCTTCTAAGTATAGAAAAAGAGTAGATTTAGATTAGATATTAGGAAGAAATTCTTTACTGTGAGGGTGGTGAGGCACTGGAACAGGTTTCCCAGGGAAGCTGTTGATGCCCCATCCCTGGAGGTGTCCAAGGCCAGGCTGGATGGGGCTTTGAGCAACCTGGTCTAGTGGGAGGTGTCCCTGCCCATGGCAGCGGGGTTGGAACTAGATGATCTTTAAGGTCCCCTCCAGCCCAAAGCATTCTATGAATTCTATTAATGACTGTAAAATTTTATGCTGATAGCATCATTAGATAGTCTACAGAAAACAGAAGGAAAAGCTTAATACTGCAGGTAAATACTTGTCTCAAGCAGAGCACCCAAAATTAGCAGTCACCTGTGAAAATGCCAACCAAATTGCAAACAATCATTTTCATACCACAGAAG